AATACAAAATTTGTATTAAACCGAATTCTCAAAATTAATAGCTCCTTCCCTTCAGAAAATCTACACTGAATGACATTTATATCTTGAACCGAAATTAAGACCAATCATGGGTTATTTCAATTATGGAATCATGTTCAACAAATTCAAATCGTTGAACATGGTTCTATAACTCTAAACACACACACACACATATATATATATACATGTATGTATATATATGTATTTTTCTTTGCTTTAAATAAAAAAATTCTTGAGATTTGCACAAAAACCTGGAGTTTTAGCAAATGTTTTATATATATATATATATATATATATATATATATATATATATATATATATATATATATATATATATATATATATATATATATATATATATATATATATATATATATATATATATATATATATATATATATATAGAGAGAGAGAGAGAGAGAGAGAGAGAGGTCAATATACTCTTGGAGTGTATATAGGTCTTTGATACTATGGACCATGATATTCTTCTTTACAAAACTTGAAGTTTATGGAATCAAAAATAATAATTTTAAATGGTTTTGTTCCTATCTTAAAAATCGCAAACAATGCGTATCTTATGACAAAATCTACACTAAATTAGAAAACATTACCTGCGGAGTTCCACAGCGATCTATTCTAGGGCCTTTGTTGCTTATTATTTATATCAACGATATTTACTTATCATCTAGTTAACTAAACTTTAATCTTTTTGCTGATGACACTCAAGTTTTTTATACTCGCTCTAACATTAAGACAATCTTTACCACTATGAATAGTGAACTTGATAACCTTAATGAATTAAAGCTAAACAAACTTTCTCTGAATCCTACTAAAAGCAAATATACTCTCTTTTCTAAATCCTCTAAATCTGACATGTTGCCTTTAAAACTCCCGGATATTTTAATAGAAAAAACCAAATTGAAACGGACATACTGTGTTAAATTCTTAGGCGTTTTAATCGATGAGCAAATAAATTGGAAAGAGCATATTAATCTAATAGAAAATTAAATTTCAAAAACTATTGGAATCATGTATAAAACTAGATATATGATGGTTAAAAACTGTTTAAAATCTAATTAATTTTCATTTATTCATAGTTATATTAGTTATTGTAACATTGCTTGGGCAAGTACTTATCCGTCAAGACTAACTTGTATCTTAAAAAAGCAAAAACAAGCAAGCCGCCTTATATTAAATGCTAATAAATACACCAGTGCCAATCCACTGCTTCGTAAGCTTGGAGTGCTGAATATTTACCAATTAAATATATATAATATTCTTTTATTCATGTTTAGATTAAAATATCATATGCTACCTAATATTTTTGAAGATCTTTTCTTTATTATAGATCATAAATATCAAACAAAGCATTCATTGCTTAACTATCAGGTACTAAAAACTTTGTTAAAACAATCTGAATTCTCAATAACTTACCGAGGGCCACATTTGTGGAACTCATTTCTCCCAAATAATTGTAAAACTGCAACTTCAATCCAAACTTTTAAAAGTATCTTTAAAAAACAGTTACTTGATTATGACGTATCTCAAATACTATTTTATTTTTAACTTTTATTTTGTTCTCTCTTATTTATTATTTCTTTAACTTTTCTTTTTGTTAAAAAGCGGCATCACACTTTATATCATTACTTATCTTTATATTTGTATTGTATTGTATATATATGTATTTGTGTGTGTGTATATATATATATATATATATATATATATATATATATATATATATATATATATATATATATATATATATATATATATATATATATATATATATATATATATATATATATATATATATATATATATATATATATATATATATATATATATATATATATATATGTATATGTATGTATTTTCTTTGTTTGATATGTAACTGATAAAACGGGGCTGGATAATAAGACTTTTGTCTTCTGCCTGCTCCTGCCATATCTTAACTCAAAATGAATATATTGTAAACAATTTATTATAACGATGACGAAAATGTAAAAAAAAAAAAAAATGGCACCAATATTTTGACACATTTTTCACTGTACTTATAAATTAGCGTTATTTATTAAAATATCTTTTCATCTTCTCATATTTTCTTCATATCTTCTCATCTACGTCATGAAATAATAAAATTTATCTTGACCTTAATTTGTCTGTAAATTTTGTTATTTTTGAAAATTTTTGTGCTATTACTGGTAATATGCGAGTTTCCATGCGATGTTTTCATCAAGAAAAAAGCATAAGACATTGATGATGTTGAAATAGTTTTTCTATTTCAACATTATCAATGAAACTTTTGAGGGTGAGTTTTTTTTGAGAGTGGATGGAAAAGAATACATTTTATTTTGTTAATGTTAAGAGTTAATTGATTGTATTTAAACCATTTGGACATATTTTCAAGTTCATCATTCGTAGTGGAGAAGAGTTTGTAAGTATCGCTATCGTTAAATTAGTTTGAAGTATCGTTATCGTTATCTTAAAGAGTTTGTAAGTACCGTTATTGTTATCTTGAAGAGTTTGTAAGTAACGTTATCGGAAAAGAATGTGTTATCAGCAAACATGATGCCCAATTTTAATACTTCAATTAATTTTTATACTTTAATTTAGAAAAAAATAAATATATTTTGTTTATTCTTATTGTGTCGGTCTCTCTGCTATATATACTCTTTACTCTTTCTTCGCCTAATAAGCTCACAAAACATAATTTTTTTGTTTGCTGACTTTACGGGAGAAACCCCTCTCTATTTTTAAAAATAACTTTTAGAAAAGCATATATAAAACAAAATAGTAGCCTGTTACTATGGTAACCATAAAAAAAACTACCAAAAACAAAAAATGGCGTGAAACTAAAACAGGCTTTACGACGTCTAATAATGTGAGGAGGGAGTTAAACAACTGTGGTTCAAATTTTTATATGGTTTTTAAAGAGTTGAAGAGTGTTTTAAGTTGGCCAGATTTTTTTCAAGTTGTCTGAATTCAAAGTTTAATATTTAATGTTATGGAATTAAAAATAGCATATTTAGCAAGAAAAAAAAAATCTAATCTACTTAAAACACTGTAAGCCATTTAATAAACGTTCCCTAAAATTTTAGAAGCAGTTCTCAAACGGTTTTTGAGTAATATTGGACTGCATTTCAAATATTTTAAACAAGCAAATAAACGTTTTTTAATTGAACAACGACAACCCACATCAAAAAAATATATATATATAAATAGCATTTAAAATCCTCCCGCTTCATATATCATTCCCTCTTTTTCAAAATAATTGTCATTTTATTTTTTTTTACTTTTTTCTATTCAATTGTCGCCTCAATTTATTTCTTTTATTTATAAAACATTTGGACTGGTTTACACGTTGATTGTTTATTTTAATGCAAATTCAATCATAAAAGCACTTAGTAACAGTTTCAAAAACAACATTAAAGTTTTCATACCATTATTTCAATTTTCTAGTGCATCATAAACACCAAATTTCAAATTATTGAGTGACACGTGGTCTTTGGTAGTCTGTCCCAAATCTTACCGTCGAACGAATCATTTGCGTTTTGTGTCTTTCCGTGTAAACATATTTGTAGCTCTCTATCTTTGCTTAGATCCTCAAAATAGAGCTTAATCTTAAAAATAATATTCATTGGGAGACCTGGTTTTAAGTGTTCGTTTTACCTTACTTATGAATAGACCTTTAAAACACACGTTTTGCACCAGTGGTCTCCATACCGCTTGCAGATCCTTTGTAATTGTATTTACGAATGTAAAACTTTCTCCAATTAGTATAGGCTGTTGGATTTAAAAGGTTTTTTTAAAAGCAATCTTTGCAGAACCTGGACATTGGTTCCACATCTAAAGCTTCTCAGGTATCTATTGATAATACAGAAAAGACATCATTTAAGGATGAAAAGCCTTTTTTATGCCAAACACCATCACATGACATACCAATATCAACATCATCATCATTAACAGCATGTTTACACAAATCTAATACTGAATTAAGTATAGTATCTTCAGCAACTTTTTGTGAAACAACACCAATTTTTGCATATACTTTTGTGTCATTAGTGGCGGCATATTTACTAAGGTGATAAAATTTTTTATACCAGAATGTCCCAGTCCAAGTGTACGCATTGTGTATATTATTGTAAAACTAATATCATATCCTTTATTACATTCTTTTGAATCGTAAAACTCATATTCAAATTTACAGCTAAAGCATTTTATAAACAAATTACCTTAATATTTTGCATTTTCTTAGGTTAAACAGTTATCTTTAAGAAAATGCAAGACATTAAGGATTGATTAATAAAAATCAATTGAATCAATTAATAATTTTAGATTCCGTATACATAGGAATGAATAAATTCGAAAAAAAAAAATCTTAAATTTTTGGTAAACTTAGAGGTGGTTCCTTACTTATTAAGGATTACGTCATGGGCCCGGTTTGACTGTGAAAATTTTTAGAATTTTTTTTTCTTCTTAGTTTAAACGCAAAAAACGAGTTAAAAACAAAAAATAGCTTTTAGCAAAACCGTGCTCATTAAGTACACAGCGATCTTCACTTTTCAATTGCATTTGCGGATTAGGAATTTGACACGTTATTTACTCAACGAGCCAAATTTCAACTAATTTTTAGGCGTTTTAAAGCGCTTGCGCATTGGCAAATAGAATATTTTGTTGTATTTACTGATCTCAGTATAACTAATAATGAAATGAGTGGGATGTGAAGTTAAACTGTAGTTTAAATTTACATCCATATATATAATGATTTTATTGCTGTAATGCGACAAAAAATTTTCAGTAAAGCTTTAAATGGTGTTTGATTTATTTTTGACAGATTTAACGGGAAAAACTTACTTAAACTAGACATTATTTATTTCAAAACGTAGGCCATGACATTTATCGGTTTCCGTTTCATTTGCCCTATTTTATAAGAGCTAAATGTTAAAAAAGGAGTTTAGTAAATAAATACAATAAAAAAATAAATGTAATAGGTAATGATAAAATAACTTATTACAAAAAATTAAAATTGAAATTCTTTAAATAAAATATTTTTAGTACATAAAATATAAACTTTACTTCATTTTAAGTCTACAACGCTATAAAAAACTTTTCAATTGCATGTTTTGAAAATATAAAAGAAAAAATATATTGTTACAATTTAAAAGTTATAGCAATTTAAAAAAGAAAATAAATAAATTCTAAAAATTTAAAATATTTAAGGAGTTAAAAATAAAAGATTTAATTTATAAGAAACTTATTTAAATGACTTTGTAACCGGTCTTCTAAATTCTTTAGTGCCAGAGAAAGTTTGTGTTCTGGAAACATCTTCATATTTAGTTTTTTCTATGACCGCCCAATCTACAAAAAAACAAAAAAAACAAAAAAAACTAAAAGAATGATTTATATTATTATTTCAATTTATTTAGATAAGAGTATTTGTGGTGTGACGACTCAAATAGCAGAACAAACAATCACTATCCTTCTTTTTTTGCTTTTTTGTGACATTTAAAAAAACATAATAAAGTATAATAAATAAATAATAAGGTACAATATGTTGTTTTTGACCGAGATATTCTGCCAACAAACAAAACTAATTGTTATTTAATTCAGCAAATAAAAATTTGAGGCAATAAAAAAATGATAAAATATTTTGTGCATAATTGTAATAAATTGTATTTTAGGTTTAACTAATTTCTTTAATACAAAAAATGTTAAGGAATTTCAGCGGGAAACCATTTTTTAAGTAAAATGGTTTCCCGCTGAAAGGAGTTCCTGCTCTATATTAGACAGGAATTTTTTCTCATTTTCTGCATTTTGGAAATATGTCCAACAAAAATGCGTTTTAAAATCTAAAGTATAAAGTAACTGGAAAAGATTAAGAGTCATTTTCTGTTAAAATCAGTAAATTTTTTTTTCTAAATATTTGCAGTTCCTGAGTTATGGTCGGCCAAACTTTTGACCTTTTAACACTTGCAAAGTCATTATTGGGATTTGTGATTTTAAAACTAAATTTAAAGGCAATGAAACCACGTATTCTAATTTTCTTTTTATATTAAGGAAGTATATGTAGAACTTTCAAAAAAAAAAAAATTCAAAAAAACTAAGAAAAACCTTTTCTTAGTCTAAAAATCATTAGCTGAAATCACACATTTTTGAATTTGGGTCTTACTTTAAATACATTTATTTTAAAACATAAAAGGTTCACGCAGGGTGTCTTATCGTTTTCGGAAAGGGTATCCCATATCCAATTTTAATGGTTTAAACAAATTGAGGGGGTATTGCTTACAAAAATACTTATGAATCATCAAACGGTCTAAAATTGTTTTAAGTAGCATTCAAAAATCAGCCATTATGAAAAATGGGAAAGGTCCCATATTGAATGCATATATTTTCTAATACCATAATACCATTCTTTTAATTCGAAAAAAAAAATTGGGGGTTAATATCGGATTAATGAAATAACGTTACGTCAAAATAATGCTAAATCTTTTTTTTTTAATTTATATGATTGTAGATATTTAAACCATCTTAACCTGATCTTTATTGAACATATATAATTATTTTTAGACATTACTTCTTTATCTACAGTTATTCAGTTTGGTTTATTGAGAATTTAGCTAATTACTTCTGACTTTTTCAGAAAAGAGTATCTTGTCTTAATGCCGACGTCGGGTCGAGCTTGGATGCCGATACCGGACCGCCATTATTTTTGTACAAAATTGCGTCGAACCAATATCAACTAACCTTTACTTTTATTTGTCAGTGATGGTTACATGGTGAACTGTAAAAAAGAATAGTTATAGAGTCAAGAATCATATTAATTGGTCAGCTTTTCCTGATGTTATAAAGTACAAAGAAAGTGAAGTCATTTATAAAATTCTACAACCATTTTATTTAAAACAGCACAGAAAGTATAAGCTTGTAAAAATAAGAACTTGAAAAAGTCTAAAATGAATTTCAAGCAACAACGCATAAAAATAAACGAGATAGGGTGGAGAGAGCCTTTACACCGTATGGGACAGCAACCCTGATTGACGCCTCTATTTTTCTAAATTTTTCTATATTATCAGTGAATGACCTTTTTTTTTTTTTTTTTTGAATTTTTTTTTATTTGGTGCCCTTTGGAAATTTGCAGCCTGGACAAACATTTTTATTTATGCTTAAGTTAAGTTAAAATGTTTTGCTAAAAGTTGCAGTGATTGGATCCTGGAAATCAAAATAGTCCAAAAAGATCAACTCCCCATACGCAAAATGTGAGGACAATGAGAAATTACTTTTTTTTTTTTTTGCTATCTTATACTAAATTTAAATTCATCGACAGGTTTTAAACTTCATCTATTAACCATTTAGTGTTTGAAAGTTATGACCATGTAAAATTCAAAACTCCCTTATTTTGGGATGAATGGAAAAGTCACGTGATTATAACTTTCGAAGACTAAAAGATTATTAAATGAAATTTAAAACCTGTCGATGAATTTAAATTTAGTATAAGATAAGAAAAAATATATTTTATTAACTCCTTGCCCTCACGCATGGGGTAGCTAGGAGGCAATCTTTTAGATCTATTTTTGTTCTTAGATTCAAAGAAGCGTTTTTAATAGGGCTCTGTGATAAAGCTAATTTATGACTTTTTTTTGCTCCAACCATTAATATAATTTTTCTAATTTTTTGTACTTTGTAAACATTTTAAAATAAAAAAAACTAAAATCTAATTACCGCAATTTATTGCAAAGCATTCAATTTGACATAAGCATGAACTTACTTAAGTTTGGAGTTTGCATAATTCTTGAAAGTGTATTTTCTAAAGCATCAAAAAAATCTTATCTACGCCATTGACTCAAACAATAATATATTAAGATAAAGAAAAATAATATATTGAGTAATTCCACTTTTTTTTTTTTCAATCTATAAAAAGTTTAATTTTTTGTAGTGGAATTATTTCAGTAATGCGATATTACCGGCTAGTTGTTTTTTTTTGAATTAAAAGAATGGTATTATAGAGTATAAGAAAATATATACATTCAATCTTGGGACCTTTCCCATTTCTCATAATGGCTGATTTTTGAATGCTACTTAAAACATTTTTAGACAGTTTGATGATTTCTAAGTATTTTTGTAAGCAATACCCTCTCAATTTTTTTTTAAACCATTAAAACCGGATACCCTTTTTTTTTAGACTAAGAAAGGGTTTTTCTTTGTTCTTTTGAATTTAATTTTTTGAAAGTTCTACAAATATACTTAATATAAAAAGAAAACTAGGATACAGTGGTTTCATTACCTTGAAATTTTTGCCGGATATCTGGATTATCTGGCCGGATAACTGGATTATCTGGCCGGATATATCAAATATCCAGCCGGATACAGCCGGATATGTAATTTTTGAGATTATCTTTTATCCCACTAGTGTTCATACTTTTATAATAATTAGGAATTAACTGTTTTTTAGTAATTTAATTAATAAAAGTAAAAATTAAGTATTATAGTGAAATAATATAGTAATCGCACAAATTTAACTTTTGAATGAATGAAGATTTTATCACTATTGCTCACTAATTTTTCACTATAATTCACTAATCACTTCTAAATTTTGGAAAAAGAAAAAAAGAAGCAGAAACTTTTGGAAAAGAAAGTAAAGGCTTTGTAACAAATAAAAATAACACTTAAAAATGTTAAAAGTATAATATATATATATATATATATATATATATATATATATATATATATATATATATAATATATATATATATATATATATATATATATACATAAATAAGCTACATTTACTACACAAACTAAAAAAAAACAAATATATTAGTAAGCTTTAGTGTGTTTTACTATCTGGTTCAACATGATTTTTAACTTGTTAAGTATAAAGAACTTTAAAAAGGGCTAGATATTCCAAATTTCAATAGATATATGAAATAAATGAAATTATAAATGAATTATCCTATGAATCCTAAATAAAATATCCTAATTATAAATGAAATATCCAAATAATTGAAGCTCCTGTTTTAATCATGCTATTAAAATTACAGTTAGAATGTTCAAAAAATTACAAAAAATTGTATGTATTAGAGAAAATTTATCTTTTACTTAAAACACTTTTTTAGATCTAAACTATAAAAGTTTAAAATTCTTTAAAAAGAATTTTTTTTTTTCAAAAGAACTAATGAGTTTTTGATAAATTATTATCTAGGGAAAAAAAAACTTTAGAACTGATTTCGATTAAAAAAAGTGAAAAGTAAATAAAAAACATTTAATTTACTCTTACAAAATGATGATAATTTTGAAAGTGATAATGACACAAAATCAATTAAAAATTAAAAATGCCTAAAAAAAATTAATATCTAAAATTATCAAAAAAACATTTTGGTATCAAAATCTACACATTTCAAATATTATATTATAATTCAGTAGACATATTAAGTCCACCTGCTACTAATGTACCTTAGTGTGTTCCTTTAATACTTAAACAGACATTTCATATACACCTGCTAACAGTGTACCTAGTGAGCAACTTTATTATTTCAACAGGCATTTTATGTACACCTAACATTGTATCTCAGGCTTTCACAGGAAGACATGCGATTTCACGTCTTTATATGAATACGCAAAAAATAATGTTTTAACGATTTGACCATGGCATATTTTTAAAATTTAAAAACAAGCTACAAAAACTTACCTAAACTTATCTGAAAAAAAAATTAAAAAAAAATAATAAATTTTAACGAAAGAGAAAACAAAAAAAAATACTTAGTTGAAGCAAAAACACAAAAAAATAAATATATATATATATATATATATATATATATATATATATATATATATATATATATATATATATATATATATAACGCAACTAAAATATATATATTTTAGTTGCGTTATATATATATAACGCAACTAAAACAAAGCTCATCAAACTAAAATGCTTAGTCTATTTAATTTACGCATTAAAAACCCATTTCAATTTTTGTTTCATCATTTTTATATGTTTTTTATTTATTTAAATGTTCAAAAGTTAAATATTTCTCATAAAAAATACATAGTTTTATAAATAAAATAAAAAAACATTTTATTAATATTTTTTTTTAAATTAAGTGTTTTTTTTACTTTATTAAAAGAAGTGTTTTTTTTTACTTTATTAAAAGCATTTCGATAATATAAAAGCATTTAAGATCAAACTTATTAAATTGTAATGGTTTTCTAAAACTTTTTTTTTTTAACGAAATTTTGTTTATCTTTTTAAATGCATTAACTTTAATCATTCTTATATTTAAATTCGTTAAAGAGACTTTCATAGTCGTAGAATGTCATCGTTTATAAAAACAAAACAATTTTTTATTTTTTAATAAGGTTTATTTTAGAAATGAACACTTAAACAATTTATATGTTTTAAATTAAAAAAATATATTCAACTGTCAATTATACTTAAAAAACAAAACTTTTCAGTAAATTGTTACTTTTTATTAAAATCGTTTCGCTAATATAAAAACATTTGTTAAGAAGTTTTGATGTAATTAATTTTACTTTTTTAGAATATTTTTTATTTAGCGCGTTATTAAAATGTTTTTTGAATTAACCGCGGTCAAACCGTCATAACAAAATGTAACTTGCGTGGTCATATAAAGACGTGAAATTGCACGTCTTCCTGTGAAAGCCTGTATCTAGTGAGTTTTTTTGTGTTTTATGTGCAGTAATGCAATAACATTTTTTAAATGTTATTGCAAAAATAAAGATTTTAAATGTTATATTTATTTTCAACAGCTTCAGCGAAAAAAAATATATAACTTATCTTAATATTTAATTATCTTATAAAATTTTAATGATGATTGCAATAAAAAAAAATTGTATTTTTATCTGATAATAACTTTGTGTTAGAAAAAGAGTTAACTTTTATAGAAAAACTTTATGCAGAAGGAAAATTTTAAATTATTTTAATTAATGTTGAATAGCCCTCAATTTAATTACTTAAATATTGCCAATCAAGATTGGTCAAATAAAAACAATAAAAAACAAATAAAAATGCAAAGCTTCTCAAGCAATTTAACTTTTTACAATAAACTAAAATGCTGATTATATGACAGAAAAATAGGCACTTGTTTATACAAGTTCAACATACTGTTTAATATTATATGATAAAAGAACAGGCACATATTTAAACAGTTGCAACATAACGTTTAATATTATATGATTGAAAAACAGGTACATTACAACATAACACATAGCAGCAAGTGCAACAAGGTTTAGTATTTTTCTAATTTACAAGTTTCCTGAATTAATAAATTAAAACTTTTCCTGAATTTATAAACCTCAAACTTTTCCTGATTTAATTTCAAGCACACTAAAAACATTTTCCCCCAAGGGCGTTTATTAAGAAGTTTCCATTTTGATTATAAGCAAAACTTATTTTAACTTAGCAGGATCATAAGAATTATCAAAAATGTGATTGAAAAAAAAACCATCGCAAGAATAAAATTTTAATGTAGAAGTTTTATTGACCTTTAAGCCAAATAAAGCTATTAAATCGAAAATGTTTTTATTGATAAAGTTAAAATAGAAGCCCTAAGAGAGCCCAACTAATGACCTATCTTAGTATATACTTTACCATTTCATCTAAACTGCCGTACAATTTTTTGTTTTTTAAATACTTATTATAGTAATATATAACCATTAAATTAAACACTGCATTAAATTTGATTAAAATTATCTTATTTTTTTAATGTTTTTTTTTTAAATAGTTAAAATGAAGAACTTTTACGTACAGCAATACAACACTTCCTGTGCCTAAATAGTTTCAACATATATTTCAACACCCTTCAACAAATTCTGTAACAAAATCTAAAAAATACAAATGACAAATATAAATATATTTTACTTACGAAATTCACTACCATTATTTGAAAATCCTGCTGAATTTTCAACTTGGGAACAGCTTTTTTTTTGAGGTTGAGTTTTGCATCCATAAGTATTTTTTCCCGGCTCACTGCAACGCCGATGCATACTCATTTTACGTGGAAGTTCTGGGGCATCTTCATCATACTCAATGCCTGTAAAAAAAAAACTTAGATTAGTATTAATTTTTATTTTTGTTATGTACTTTTATTTTCAGCATTTTAAATTTAACATAAAATACTTTTCTTACTTGATTTAAAATTTGGATCTAAAGCCATATAATCTCCATTGTCATGAACTGGCATATTTTTAGTTAGTGATTTATGCATCAATTCATCTGAATTGATGTACACATTTTCATCAACATTAATCTCAGGAAATATATTTACAAATAAATGTGAGTCGTTTTCATCTTTCAGTTTGTGTTCAGGTAACACAGAAGTAGTACTACTTTTTGAATAAAACGCACTGGACATTTTTTGATAATTAGGAATATTTGCAGAGTCTTTTCTCTCATTTGTTAAATTTTTAATAATATCATCATGTAATGAAAGGCTATTCATAAACAGAAAATCTTTGTTTAAATGACTATCACATGATGAATTTTCATTTGAACATGAGTTGATACAAGCATTAACATTTTTATTTAATGTTACATTTTCATAAATATCACTACGGTCCCTTTGTATTTTGTTATTTATGGTGATTGAACTATGTCTACGCTTGTGGGTTCCATTAATCATGATGGCTGAACTTTGTTCGAGTTTTTCGATTTCATCGTTCATGCAGTTCCTACTATGTTTTTGAACTTTATCATTCATGCTTGCACTATGTCTTTGATTTTCTGTTTCATCATTCATAGTACTTGAACTATATCTGCGTTTAAGAATTTCATTGTTTAAGATGCTAGAACTATGTTGATGTTTTTGAATTTCATCATTCGTGGCACTCAAACTATGCCTATGATTTTCTATTTCATCATTAGTAGCGCTTGAACTATATCTACGTTTAATTATTTCATTGTTCATGACACTAAAACTATGTTGATGTTTTTGAATTTCATCATTCATGGCGCTCAAACTATGTCTATGATTTTCTATTTCATCATTCATGGTACTCGAGCTATGTTGAGGACTTGCATAAAAAGTAAAATGATCTAAATTTACAAAATCAGATTCATTATATAAATCATTGTTGTGTTGAGATATATTTTCTTTTTTTTTATCTACAATATCTCTATAAGGAATTTGGTATAAATCACTAAAGGACGCATTGCTTTCATTTTGGTTAGTTTTTGTCAGCATACCATTATCAAGGTTATTTAGATGAGGGTTTGTTTGAGGATAACAAAATGAAGAAATTTCCCCAATAGAATGTGTCTGTGGAGTCTGGTATATATCATCACTACAAAATGTATCATTTTCATTTTGAATGCTATTTTTCAAAAAACATTTTCTACTATTATCTAAGACAGAGCTCTGCTGAGAGCAATTTAAATCAATTTCATCCTGATAACTAACACAGTGTGTCGAATTATTTAAAACAGTTGAATCCGAATACCCAGAGTCTTTATTACCTGGTAAATTTTCATACCCGAATGTTCCAATACTTTCCTCACAAAAATAACTTATTCTGGCTGATGAATTAACACTATCACGCTGTTTTTTCCATTCACTTAACTGTTCTAATAAGCTGATAAAAATAAAATAATTTTATTATTTATAAAGAAGACATTAGATTATAAAATGAAATTAAAAAAAGAAAATAATATAATAAAATTTTAACAAACAAAAATTAAAGCTAGTAATCATACTTATTATTTCTAACATGCAACAAATCGTCATTTGAAGAACTGTTTTTATCACTTAAGAAGTCTTCAAGAGAATCGATGGATTCACTTCGCTGATTAATGAATATTAAATAAACAATATAAAAAGATTTAAAAAATATATATTTTTTAAATAATATAGAAAAAATAAAAAATAAAACAATTATAGAAATTTTTTTTTTAAATTTTAAACCTATCTGTATTGATTTATTTTTGATTTAAAAATAATATTTTTATAATAAAAAATGTCAATGAGAAATGGGAAAAAGAAGGTTGGAGAATGGGATGAAGTAACTGAAGTTTCAATTAAACATTAAATTTGAACTTGAAATTCAATTTTGAACTTGAAATTCAAAAGAAACAAACTTGTTTCTCCACGCAACAGCCTTCTTTATGAAGGTTCAGGTTTCGGAGTTGAGAGTTGAAAGAGGGTTGTAACCACAATAAGGTAGCCTCCTTGACTGTAAAGACTTTCTTAATCTTGGGATGAATAACATAAAAGATAAAAAAGACAATCTTAATCTGTAAAAACATTTGAACAAAAATTGTGACAATATATTTCCAAACAATGATTGAAATGTTAGTAAATCTGCTCTGATAGGTGGACCATTATCTCAAGTTTGAACAAGTTCTTTGGCATCTGTTAGTTTGCCAAAACCTTGTAAGAAGCAACAGCTGATGTCATCATACACAATTTAATTCAATAAAATAATTGTAAATCTAGCAATATTTAGAAAAGCTAATAGTCTTCAAATCCAACTCAAAAAAATTTATGTTGTTTTAGAATCAATTATTTAACTTTTTTTAAATAAAGGTTTTTATAGACCTAAAGGAAAAACAATTAAAAATAGAATTAAATAATAAATTTTTCTAGTTTGGTTTTATTTGGTCAAAAGTCAGAAATAAAATATGAGAGAAGTAAAAAAAAGCTTTTACCAATATATATATAAATATAGTCAGTATCAAAAATATTTAGTTGGTTTTGTAAAAAGTCATAAATGTATAACTTTTATCATGTCATAAATGTAATAACTTTTATCAAAGTGTATTTATCCTAAAAAATCTTATTGTATGAATCTTTAAATTTGGTTTCCAAAAATACAATTGTGAAAAAACTTTTTATTAAAAATATTGTATTTGAATTGAAAAATTTTATTTTATAGCTAGCTAATATAATATGTTTATGTTTTCAGAAATGTTGGTTATAATAGTTTTATAACCAACATTGCTTAGTGTAATAATATAGAACATTATTATTGTCGTTGTTTTATTAATATTTCTTATTGTTTAGTTGATAAAAAGATAAAAAAAAGTATATTATTGTTTCTTTGTGTACCCTTCACTTACGACAATTTTATCAACTTATTAACACAATTGGCTGTAAATGATGGCATAATACTTGAAATTAATACAACAATAGACAAAGCTCTACAACCTTTGCGTTTTAAGACACCACCAAATACTTCATTCAGTAGTCAGGAGTACAAGCATTGGTTAATAACTTTTGAATATTTTTTGGGCAAATTTCCCCAGGAGGGTATCAACAAACTTAAAACTTTAAACAACTTTATATCGTATCAGATTTTCGAATGCATTAGTGAGTGTAACACATGATTCAGCAGCAGAAACATTGAACAATCTCTACATCAAACCACCGAATACAATATTTGCTCGACATTGTTTAGCAACGCGCTGACAACAGCCAGCTGAGTCATTTGATGAATATATTCAAACACTTAAATTACTTACTAAGGATTGTAACTTCAAAACTGTTACTGCATTACAATACCAAGAAGAAACAATTTGGGACTCTTTTATCAGTGGTATAGTTTGAAATGAAATTCGTCAAAGACTACTTGAAAATAGAAAGATAACATTAAAGGTTATGCTTGATAAAGCTAGAGCTTATGAATATGCTCAAAAGTATTCTGAAAATTATGTATCTTCCTTTCATCAAAAGCCATCTTTTACAGCATCCGTCTTTAATGAAAATACAGAGATTCCCACAACATTTGCCACTATTCCTAATAGCATTAACTCCTCTAAAAACAAAGCCTGCTTCTTTTGCAGAAATGTGATGCATCCTAGATACAGATGTCCAGCTAAAGATGCTATTTGTAACAAGTGTGGAAAAAAAAGACACTTCTCTAAAGTATGTCTTTCTAGGCAAACTAACAATAACCCAACTTCTGTATCTGTCTTAAAACCATTATTAGCATCAATTACTAGTAGTATAAATCCATCTCTGCAAAGGTCTAGTTGCAATATTACTATCAACAGTCAATCTATCAAAGCTCTTATCGATAGTGGAAGTTCAGATAGCTTTATTCATCCTAAATTAATCAACCAACTTAAATTTAAAGATCACCAACTAAAAGCTCTGTACGAATGGTATTGTCTTCCTTGTCAACCTTTGGTACTGGGATTTGTTTTGTTGATCTAACAATTCATGAAACAAACTACCCCAATGTAAGACTCCATGTCATGGAGAATTTGTGTGCAGATATTATTCTAGGAATTGATTTCCAGTCACACCACCAGAGTGTAACACTTAAGTTTGAGGGAGTAAGAGACCCTCTTGTAGTTGGACTTGCTACATTAAATGTAGAGCCTCTCAACCTGTTTGAAAACCTTACACTGGATTGCAAACCTATAGCTTCGAAATCCCGCCATTACAGTGCCGAAGACAGAAACTTTATTACCTCAGAAGTACAGCGCCTGTACAAAGAAGAAATTATTGAATCTTTAATGTCACCCTGGAGATCACAAGTTGTTGTGATAAGAAAAGAAAAAGCGCCTAGTTATAGATTATAGCCAAACTATGAATCGATTTACATGTCTTGATGCCTACCCTCTACCACGAGCAGATGAACTTGTAATTAAAGTATCCCAGTATCATTACTTTAGTACCATTGATTAAAAGTCAGCAGGTCCTAATTAAATAAGAAGATTACTTATATACTGCATTTGAAGCCGACGGAGGCTTGCATCAGTTTACTTGTATGCCATTTGGTGTAACAAATGGAGTGGCACAGTTCCAAAGAACAATGGATAATTTTATTGCCAAAGAGAAATTGAAAGATGCTTTTGCTTATCTTAATAATTTGACAATCTGTGGTATGACACAAGAAGAACACGACTACAACTTAAACCGCTTCCTTTTAGCTGCTAAAACGAAGAACTTAACTTACAACAATGAAAAGTGCGCTTTCTCTACCACATCCCTGAATCTTCTTGGTTATGAAGTCAGTCATCAACAAATCAAGCCAGACACTGAACGACTCCGACAACTTCGAGAACTACTGGTACATTTTGATACAAAATCACTTAAGCAAACATTAGGCTTATTTTCGTACTATTCACGCTGGATTCCTCATTTCTATAAAAAGATTGCCCTGATAACTAAAGTTAAATCTTTTCCCTTAGACTCTTCATGTATTGAATCATTTACTACGCTTAAGAAAGACATTGAATGTTCTGTTGTGCGTTCTATTAATGAGAATGAACCATTTGAGTTAGAAACTGACGCTTCTGATACTGCAATTGCGGGGATACTTTAGCAAAAGGGCAGACCAGTTGCTTTTTTTTCGCGTTTGCTAAATCAATCTGAGCTAAAAAAAAACCCAATTGAAAAAGAAGCATGTGCTATTATTGAATCTGTCCGACATTGGCGCCACCTACTAACTGGCAAACACTTCAAGCTTTTAACTGATCAACAATCTGTATCATTTATGTTTAACAAAAATAACAAAAGTAAGATCAAGAATGACAAAATTTATCGTTGGTGTCTCGAGCTTTCTTGTTACAGCTTTGACATCATTTACCGGAAAGAAATAGACAATATTACATCTGATACTTTTAGTTGTATGCACTCTTCAGCCATGAGCTTGTCTACTCTTTTGTCATTACATAATTCTTTATGTCATTCTAGAGTTACCAGAATGACATAATCCACAATATGCGCTTATCAAGCATGCCAGTGGTTGTGAATGCCAGTGGTTGTACAGTTTCTATTCACCATCTTGCATCACTAAATAAAGAATTGCCTGTAGACACATTAAAAATATCTAATCTAATCGCACCAGAGCAATCTTCTGCTCATCATGTACAGGAACAAGATAAGACTATGTTAATAGATTCCCAATCTACGGCACATCATGTACTGGAAAAAGATAAGACTATGTCAACTGATCCTCCAGATTATCGATGTCCCACGCACAATAAAAATGAAAGCGAAATGTTACTTAGACGATCTACGCAAAAGCGCACTACTCCGAATCGATTGGACCTTTAAACAATCAACTACTTGATATTTTAAAGATGTAAGGGTGATTGTAATAATATTGAGCATTATTATTATTGTTGTTGTTTTATTAATATTTCTTATTGTTTAGTTGATAAAAAGATAAAAAAAGTTTATTATTGTTTCTTTGTGTACCCTTCACTTACAACACTCAGGTTTTATTGGGTTTTTATTGGGCGGGTTTTTTTGGGCAGGTTTTTAATGTCAACCCTGAGAATTATACAAAAATACTAAGAATAAAATAATATAGGTACACACAAATTATATCATCATTTAACATCAAACAAGTCTGACTTACTGTATTCAGAAATAAGATCATTCAAAAGATTTATTGTTAAAAAAATTAAACATCTAGTTAATGATAAGAATTAGAAACTTGAAAAATCCTTTGGTTGTAAAGAAGAAAAGGTAACACTAAAATTCATTCAATGCTTTTTTTTTTTCACTACATGTTTGCAATTATGTTTGGAAGTGGTTCATCAGATTGCTAAAATTTTGAAAGTGTATATCACTACAAAAACATTAAGAACACCAGGTTTAGAAATAAAAAAAAAAAAAAAAGGTGATTTGATTTAAATGCCTAATTTCATTGTCATACTCGCGATCAAACTGTTATTTTTGTTAGTTAAACCACTTTGCTCTGTGAATTTTGGTTCAATTTTCTAAAAAGGATGCTATACCTTTTGCATTGACCAATAAATTTTTAAAACCTTCACCAAAATAATAGTCTTTTTAAAAATATTGCAGACTAAAATTGTACAACACACAGCAACATCAAAATTAGGCTACTGAAATATACTTTACTTAAAACTTACCAAAAATAAATGCAAAACAAATAAATGCAAAATTTAGTAATTTTATGCCCAATAGTAAAACTAAACTTTTAACATTATTTTTAAAATTTCCTTTGCTTTTTCCAAACAAAGCATCATAAATAGTTATTCCTAGGTTATACCTTAAAAATGGGTTGTGTAAGAGTTTAATGATCTGTGTTTACGGCATCATTAATGTTAGCTATGAATATAATAAAAAAGCTATTTTATTCAAGTCAAATTATTTTTTCATAGTCCATTATGCTTACCACGAATATTTGCTCCATTGTTGTAACCTCGGCCTGTAGATTGTTGGTTTCACGTCCTTTTTTTTTTTTAATGTAGATAGAAAAAATTTAGCCAAACCCCCTTGTTAATTTTTGTACTTTTCAAGTTGAAAAAACTTTCATTCATACAGACACATACATTAAATTCATACAGAACTTTTCTTGATGAATCAGGAGAACAGTTCTAGATGAATCACTTATGTAATTAAATTAAAACTCATTTAATTTTTTCTTTAATTTAATTTAAAGATTGAAAAAAGTATAAACCAAATGATTATTAAATAAAATTATGACTATATATTAAAGAAACCAAATTTTGAAAAAAAAACTTTTATTGTTAATTTTTAAATCAATCTTTAAATCAATTTTTAAATCAACCTATTGGAAAATATATTTAAGACAATGTGAAGCTTTCAAGTCATTTTTCTTAATATCTAACCATTTAATTAATAGGAAAGGCTAAAGATCATATTTCAAGTAGTATTTGAAACAAAAAATTTTTTTATGCTCTTTGATGTTTTTAATAAAATTAACTATTTTTACTCATGTTATGTTTTTACTTATGTTATACTCATTTACTCATGGAAAAAACTTAATAAGTTTAATATTTATTTGTATAATACCTTTATTCTCTGCTTATTCAAATAACTGTTAAAAACTTTCAACCAACTTTTATGTTCTTCTAATGTTTCTGCACATAAATGAAACAATCTCTCTTTTGTCTGGAAATTGATAACATATCGATAGCCATTAATTTTATGCTTGTTTTCTTCAACTATAACATCTTTGCACACTATTTTACCTGAAAAAAGTATTCTGAATTATTATTTAGTATAAATTACAATTAAAAAATTTATTAATGAAACCTTAAGTTTTTTAAAAGTACCATAGTTTACCATAGTTATTTTGGAGTTAAAAATAATGAACTCAACTCTTTTATTAACAGCACAGTTGTGTTCTATTAATTTCTATTAAATACTATTAATTTTCAAAAAATCTGAGATTAAAGCTGTTCAGTAAAGTGATCATACATACACGTTTGGCGCATATTGTAGGCATTCCCCAGTAAACACAAAACATGTTCTATAAAGTTATTTTTTTAACTAATTAGGGTGATTCTCAAATTAGTAAAACCAGAAAACTAATTTTTCAAACACACTTTTTTTACAATTTTTTTGCATATTTTTACATATTAAACTAAATTTTTACATATTAAACTAAATTCACATTCTAAAATATATTTAGAAGTTTTTGTATAGTGTATAGAAAAATATTGATATCAATTTCTTCAGTTAATAAAATTTGAAACTTTTTTATTTAAAATGTCAGTATATTATTTTCCCAATCTTCAAAAATGATTGGTGCCTTGTGAAGAACAATGAAACTATGTACCCTGATAAAATAAAGCTTAAAAAGTTGAAACTTTAAAAAAAACTATATAACAAGTGTTACACAGTTTAACTTTTATTTCAGTTATCTTAAAAAAGTAAAAAAAAAATTATTTCAAATTTATCAACTTATTAAAAGTTCGTACAGTGTCACACGCGTAACAAAATTTGTCACACACGTAACACTAAAGATTATTATTTATTTTTATGAAGTTTTAATGAAATTTTGAAAATTTTTTATAAACATCAACATGTTGTCTGTAACATAAAAAAAAAAAAAAAATTAAACTAATCAATTAGCCAATTAGCAGAAATATTTAATCAAAGTTTAAAATTCAAATTTATAGTTTTTTATGCGTCACAGACATAATGCAACTAATCAGTTCTTTTACTAGTATGTGCAATAAACATATTATAAACATATTATAAAAGAAATATTATTTTATATCAGATATATCACCTACTATAATATTTGCAGTATATATCTTGCATATCTGTAGTAAAAAAAATTTTATTGCCCCTTTTATTAGAAAATATTTGCACTAAAGTCACACACATGACATGAGAATTGCCCATTAAACATGTTCTGTTAACTGCAATGAGGGTAGTTTAGAACATTTGGGATTTGTACGTGTTTGTGTACACTAATAATTTAAGCAAATAAATTTCTCTTAAATAAAGTTATTTAAAAAATGAATTTACTTAACTATAATTAAGAAACTAAATGAATTAAATTCCTATAAACTTAACTATAACATACGAAACTTTATGAATTAAAATCCCATGAAGGTAAGAAACTCTTTGAAATTAGGTATTGTTTTGTGGTTTATTTTAATAAAAATGTTCATAAAAAAGTAATTTAAAGTTCATTATCTTTGAAATAGTTATATTTCAAGGTATATCAAATTCATAAAATGAATAATAAAAAGAGAAAACTTAATTTTAAAAGAAAATCTTTCCTTTTATAACCCAGGTCAAAAATGAGCTCAAATGTATGATTTGTCAAATTTAACTTGACATTAGCAGTCATAGAAAGTCTGCAATTAAAGATTATTGTAAGTCTTTAAAACATAACAAAGTTTTGGATGCTTCTATATTGTTAAACAAAATCACAAAGTTGATAAAGAGTCTTTAGTCAAAATAAAAAAAAAATTAGCTATTCAAGAAGGAATAATTGTATTTCACACAATCAAACACAACCATAGTTTTAGACGTGCTCATTGTACATCAAAACTAATTAAGAAACTTTGTAATCAAATTTGCTTGTGTGCGTACAAAATGTGAAGCAGTAATTGTAAACATGATCAAGAAATTTTGTGAAACCAACTCAGAAAATGCTTTATTAAAAACATTATATGAGCCAATTCTTTCTGGCGAATCAAATCAACACAAGTTTTAAATATATCCAATTTTAGCTTGTTACTTTAATGTTAAAGAGGGAGTGCAAATTCAGCTAATAAACATGGACTATGTAAATGGAGAAACATCAGATACTTTATTAGAAGTTTTTTTTAAAAGCATTAGTGCTAGCAAAATTTCTTTAATTTTTGGTTGTTTTTCTTAATACCAATACAAATTTTGTATGTTCAAAATAAAATGGAAATTACAATATTTACAAAAAGCTAAACTGTGAAATCATTGGTATTGGTTGCAATGCCCACATTTTATCAAACGCAACAAACATTGCATAAGGTTGTTTATTGATTGAAGTGGATATAATTGTTCCTCAAATTTACTTACATTTTACCATTTCATTGTTTAAATTTTAAAATTTCTTCCAGAAGGCCGGTGTAGAACATCAAATATTGTGAGGATTCTTAAAGGTTAGTTGGTTGGCCTTACTTCCAGCTATCAAGAGTGCTCAAGTTATATCAGCCACTAAGATCCTACTTTTTAAGCACAGAAAATTATCTGACAGTGATATTTGACTTCAATAACAAAATAGGTAAAATAGTACTATTTTTTGTACAAAGTCGAACCAATGCTTTTTATAACATAGTGAAAAAAATGAAAAAGATGATATTTCTGCTGCTGAAGTTGCTGTAGTATTAAAGAATTTGAAAAACCAGATAAAATCTAGAAAAGATTTTTTCCTTTTATGGTAAGACAGCATTTGCAAGTTAACAAAGAAAGTAATTATCATTTCTAAAGGAAGTAGATATTTTTGACAGCGTTTGCTTAGAGTATATAGATAAATGAACACTCTTATCAGGATATTGTTTTCAAATGGTCCTTACTTAACTCTTAAGTTGAATGGACTAAAATTATTGAAACTATAACTTTTTTGAAAAAGCTAGAATTCACATTCAATGACAATAAATTGTTTGATAAAATATGGAGAACAAATTTAAATTGAACAAAGGAAAGGTTTTGGAATGCAAAGTTTCTTGAATGCAACAAGTAATGGGTTGAAATTTTTCCTTGTTTTGAAAACAATCGTGTTTTTTAAAGCAATTTAATAAAATTGGTGGAGGCTTTATGTTTGCCAGGTACAAATGGTTCTGTTTTGTTTTTTCCAGGTACAGACTGCTTCTGAGCAAGTTTCTTTGAATGCAAATGATATTTCAACTGAAGAAAAATTCCAATTTACAATAAAAACTTAGGAATCTATTTTGTTTGTTATATTTAATTTAAGAAAATAAAACTATTCAGAATTAGCAGAAAAATTTAAAAAGATTATTTTGCTGAAAAGAACTAATTTTTATAAAAATATTTGATTTGAAAAAGCAAAAATTGTTTAATATTTTGATCATAATTTAGTCTCTTGCACAAGTTATTAGAATAAAAAAATATTTAATATTGGTTCAAACATTTTTTAGAAAAACCCATAAAGTTTCATAAATTTATTTCTTGTACACATATTTAATAAACACATTGTCTAGGTGAAATGAACATCATAGTTTAATGATTAATTATATGATCTCTTATGAATCATAACAGATCATATAGCTTTCATAAAATTTATGAAAAGAGTTCTCTTTCACAAATAATTTCACAAACAAATAATCACTTCTTAAGAAAAATAAAAGTTTTTTAGTTGCTTTTACAAATTTTAATCCATAATGACTTAACGTTTTACTTAATGAATTAGTTAGCAAGTGACAAGAAAAAAAAATTATATTTTAAATATTGTAAAACTATTTTACATTTGTTCAAAAGTTAGGCTTCGAAACTCTTTTAAGTTTTTTTTTTTTTAAAAAATTTTTTATGATAAATGGATTAAAATGTTTTTTATCAATTCAATATCATGTTGAGTTTTTATGACGTAAGTTTTATTTATGAGTATAAATTGTTTACAAATATCTTATAGGTAACTGATAAAATCTATCTATAAATTATTTATAATCTTTATTAAAAATAGTTAAATACTTCAAAAAAAACTAAACTATAATGAAAGAAACAAAAGATTATTATGTTATGTATAAGATTGTTAAATAAATAAGAAATAAATTATGAGGAAATATAATCATTATCAAATATTGAACTTAGATTTCATCAGTAATTTTTGTCATAGATACATTATCCAAATGGTTCATAACGCGGTTTGAAGTTAAATTTAATTACAATGCGGTACTTTAAAATAGGCCAATGACGCAATTCAACTTTAACGATATACTATAGTCATAGCCTGGTGGGAAATTGGCTAGCGAATAGCTAGCTATAATCGTTACGATAAAGACAGCGATTTGGCCACGAGAATCGATAGCTTTTTTAAGTTAGCGAAAAGCTATCGATTTTTGTTAAAATAAAGACAGCGATTTGGCTACGAGGACAGCTAGCTTAACAAGGTGAAGATCCACTGGCTATTGTACCTAGCGTCATATCGTAATAAAACCGTTGTCTAAAAAATTTTGATATGTAGCTATCAACCAGCTATAGATATGTAGATATTTTGTAGCTAGCTACAAAGCTACGATATGTAGCTAGCGACACATTGCTACAAAATCGCAATGTTGAAAGTTCAATTATTTTCATAGTTATAATAGGACTCAACACTAAAAATCGAATTTTAAAAGATGTTAAAGACATTTGCAAAAAATAAAATAAGAAAAAAAAAATCGCTAGAAAATCGCTATAGAGCTAGCTAGTCGCTAGCTCATTTCCCACCGGGAGTCTGGAAACGCGGGCCGTTTTCTATAGATTTCGTAAAATAACTTGAGCTTTAAGGGGTTACCGGTCTGAGAGTGTATTAAATGTTTTTAAAATGACTTTTTGTAGCGCAGACTTTGTTTATCTGACTGGTACCTCTTTTGTTGTAAACTTGCAGACCTTTATTAAAAATATTTATCAAATCTTGTCTTTGTTTACCTGACTGGTACCTCTTTTATCAATGATATTATAACATTTAACCATGTATCCCTCTACATTACTAAACAAAACATTCTATTATGACTTAGTGGGAATGTTTTTGGTA